TTCTGCCCTCTTCAATTTACACTCCCTTAGAAACAGCTCAAAGCCACTCGCTGCTCGGTGGGAAAAGATGAGGTTTTCTGCTCCCGTAAAGATTTACAGTTTAAGAAACCCACAGGCACAGCTCAACCCTGTCAGCCGGGTCGATATGAGTGAGAATCGACTGGATGACCCTGAGGCTTTTGGGGAGACTCCTGCAGGGGAAGTGCCCCAGCTCTCTGTGCCCTACGTGATGTGGCACACATCCACGCCCTCCATTTTCAGGAAATCATGCCTCCTGCTCAGTTTGGCTCCTCCGAACCAGACACATGGACCACTATTGGGAGAGGAGAAGACGAATTCGAAGATAAGGGACCAGGCATGATGGGAGAGGGGTTAGGGGAGTAAGGATACAGGTGAGGTAGAAAGTTTGCACTCAAAACCATTCGACCTTGAGATGGGGAGCTGGCCTGAGTGCAGTATTGGGGGTCACGGTCCCATCAGTGGCCCTCGGAATTGGACGACGGCCGTTGCCCAGGCTGGACAATGGAACCCCAGCGAGTCCGCCCGAGCAGTGGGTGTGCGGGAGCCAGCCGCCATCGGAGAGACGTACATTTTGAGCACATCAGGATGACAGTCACTAGAGCTCCTTTCCCCGTTGAAAAGCATGAAAAAAATCATAACCCGGAAAGCCCAGAGGGCGAGCACTCTGACTTAACAACCCCTTTTACTTTCTTTTGTGAAGCAGTAAAGTCATTAACTTCCAGCAAGCAGGGAAAGCAGGTTCTTACTTAACTCCTATCTACTGAAACGTCTTAAAAATCAGCAGCAGGGAGACCATGTCTCTCTTTGCCGTGTTAAATCGTAAAGCACCATACTGCTACCGAGTAATGGGGCCTTCTGTCAAAGTATAACTTAGGAGCAATGGGAAGCCAGGGGTGTGTCCTCCGCTCAGCAGCCTGTGGTGCCTCCTCACCGTTGGTCGGAGAGATTCCCAACCCTCTGGCATGAGTCTCTGCTGCCCTTTCACCACCTGCAGCTAACCGTGTATTTTCTGCTACTTGCTGGGTGAAATTTTGATTTCATTCATGCCGACAGACTCTATCTTTCCCTTCCCTCATTGCTGCCCATCCATCTTACCCACGTCTCCTTCGAAGCCTCCCTATGTGGACTATGCACCTGTTAGAAAACATCGATATTTTTAATAACCTCCAGCATGTTGTAGGTTCCCTCCAGCTCTCCAGCCACACCCTGCTCATCTCGTTGAAGATTCAACTTTCTGGCTATTCGACCAGACTCACTCCTCTGATCCCTGAATCATCAACGCGGCTCCGTTTTCACACGCAGCAGCGCTTTGAGCTGTGCCTGCCTCTATTTTCACGCAAGCTACCTGGTCCCTACATGGATGCTTCACATCCCACTTCTTCATTGGAGTGCAGATCGCCACGTAGGGGATAGAAAGTCAGCGAGTCCCTTTGTCACATGTTTCTTGGACAGCCATGTGCCAGTCATTGCTGGATGCATGACCCTCGAGTCCAGCAAGAAAGGGAGACATGAAGCAACTAAATGGTCATTATCGATGAGCAGAGGGTTGCCACATAGGACAGGTGCTTGGAGGGTGTAGGGAAACCAGCTAATGCTCCGAAGTGGTCACACTTGAGCTAAACAGGCATTCCCAGCATGTCCTCCAACTCCCCCGGATACCTTCCCCTCTCATGTCGCTAGAGCTATGTGCCACACATCAGTTCTGATCCACACTGGCCCTTTGTAGAACAAAACAGGACCCTGCTCGCTCCTGCGCCACCCTGACAATTGTTATGCTTGAGCCCATTGTTACGGCCATGGTGTCAAGCCATCTCATTGAGGCCTTGCTCTTTTCCGCGGTCCCGCTATTTTATCGAACACGCTGTTTTCTTCTCCGGTCACTTGTCTCTCTGAACAGCATCTCCAAAGCATGTGACAGTCTCACCATCGTTCCCTCGAAGGAGCACTCTGGCGGCACTTCTTCTGAGACAGATTTGTGTGTACTTTTGGCAGTGCCTGGTCCTTTCTCCAGCATCACAATCCAAATGCATCAGTTCTTCTTCACTCTTCCTTGTTCAATGTCCAACTTTCACATCTATATGGAGTTATTGAAAACACCACGGCCTGGGTCAGGTGCATTTCAGTCCTCAAAGTAGCATCTCTGCTCGTCAGTATTCTAAAGAGCTCTTGTACGGCAGATTTACCAAGTGAAACACATCTTTTGATCTCTTGACTTCTGCTCCCATGAGCATGATTTATGGTCCAAACAAGACAACATTTGTGACAACTTCAATCTCTTTTCCATTTACCATGATGTTCCCTATTGGTCCAGTTGTGAGGTTGTGAGGTTGTTGGTCTTCTTTACACTGAGTTGTCATCCACACCGAAGGCGGCAATCCTTGATCTTCATCAGCAAGTGCAAGTCCTCCTCATATTCAGCAAGCAAGGTAGTGTCATCTGCATATCGCAGACTATTAAGAAAACAACCTCCAATCCTGATGCCATATTCTTCTCCAAAGAATCCAGCTTCTCTGATGATTTGCTCAGCATAAAAGTAGGGTGAAAGGATGCAATCCTGACCCACACCTTTCCTGCTTCCAAACCATGCAGTATGTTCTTGTTCTGTTCCCACAACTGGCTTTTGATTCGTGTACAAATTTCACACGATCATAATCAAGTATCTGGAATTCCCATTCTTCCCAAGGCTACCCACAGTTTGTCATGATCCATACAGTGGAATACTTTGATGTAGTCCATAAAAACACACGCAAATACCCCTCTCCTAGCTAGGCTGAACCACAGTAGATGCACTGTAAATTTTCCCTTCCTTCAGCTTTATGACAAAGATACAGTCTGGAACACAATGGCGGTAAGCTCACAATGAGTTTCAGGTACCTAACATCATAGTGCAAATCGTTTCAGTAACCCACCTCACTCCCAGTTTTTTATTAACTGATATAAAAAGAGCCTCCTCCACTGCCCTCTGACTGGCGTCTCTCCTGGTCTGTGAGTCCTCTAGTGCAAATAAGTGAATATCTCTTAGATTGGCCCTGGGTCCGTTTGTCGCTTTCTCAGCCTCGACGGATAGGGACTGGCTTCCTCTTTGGGGTTGAGCTCAAACCTAAGGTAAGTGGGAGCACATGCGGCATTGAAGCATCTTGAAATGACGTTTACACAGGCCAGGAGGAGTCCTAGTTGGTCAGGCAGAGATGGGGAGCAAAGTTTCCCCAGCCGAGAGATAGCATGCTCCTAGTCTGTGATGTGGACACGCCACCCAAGTATCTGGTAGAAAACAAACCAACAAGCCAAACTGACTGCCATTGAGTCAACACTGACTCATAGTGACCCCACGGGACTAGGCAGAACTGGCCCTTTGAGTTTCTGAGGCTGGAGCTCTTTACAGGCAGGTGTTGACTCAGCAGGCCTGGTGTTGCCCAAACATGCACAGGACAAAGGCCTGTAAGACTGGCCCTTGACCAGGTTTGGGGAGCTAATGACCCTCCAAGCCCTTGGGGCAATCTGCCTGGTAAGAGTGCCCTTGTACCCCCAAAACTGTGGGTCAGAACTTCATGTTTGGAGGGGCTGGCAGTTGAGTAGCAAAATGTATTCTCTTGGGTACATGTTATGGATTGAATTATGTTGTAAATATGTGTTCTAAAGCCTAACCTCTATGCCTGTGTTTATAATCCCACCTGGGAACGGGTAGCCTTTGTTATGCTAATGAGGCAGGATTAGTGTGGGGTGTAGTGCACGTTTAACTCAATCTCTTTTGAGATATAAGCAATTAAACAAGCTAGTAAGTAGCAGAGGAAAGGAAAGAGAGATGCCAAGTCGCATGAAGCTAGCCCCGCAGCAGAAGCTCAGAAGAGACAAGGAGCCAGAAGGGAGAACGCTGCCACTTGAGTTGGCACCCTGACTTTAGAAGTCTAGCCTCCTAAACTGAGAGCCACTCCCTCGTATGGGCAGTCAGACCCCTGGTTATGCTTGACTTGTGGGCAAATCCTACTTTTCCAGTACAGCAGGCCTTAGAACCAGTTTTGTTAGGGCCAACGACGTGAAACAGGAACAGACAGGCACTTTAACAAGGTCAGTGATTTGTCATAGTAACCGAAATCGGAAAAATGTGGGTTGAAGCCCTGGAACGAGAGACTCAAGAGGTGTGGTGTGTCCTTTCAGAAGTGTGAAGTGTGAGATCAAGATCAATCCTTGGCAGGACAGGGCCGAACCACACACATTCGTGGTACATGTGGCTGCCATCTTAGAGTGGGGGTGCCATCATCTTGGAAGCCTTGCTTTAAGGTGATGTAAATTTGCTCTCAGTTTTATTTATTTATTTTTGTTTTTAATCTAAATAATTTTATTTCATAATTTTAACTTAAATATAAATGAAATTCAATAACTTTTCATATAACTTTCAATTTCTTTATCTCATGATGTTCAGGAGACACTCAGGCACCAAGTTGGGAGGAATCTCAGTCCAAAGGAGATCCAGGTTCTAGAACAAGGTCCTGGCCCTCAGCCCTGCCTGCATTCCTAGCTTACAGCCAGGACAGCATGCCAGACTTGACAAAGCCATCTTGGAAGAAAAGGCTCCATTCATCTGTTGTTGCTCTCAGTTTTAAATGGTTGAACCACACCGTACTTGAAATAAAGTCTTCATCACCATCACCTGCACTTTCGGCGGTGTAGCTTTTAAATCAAATCAACGAAAGATCTTTGGCTAAATAAGAACGGATGCACTGGGTCCAACTGACCTACAGTCATTATTAGGAACAATTAACCCAGGGGCTGTCTGTATGTCTGTTAGCGCAGCACTAGGTAACTGAGACAGTGCTCCATGCAAGGGTGGAATGCCCAATACACTAGGTAAGCATACAGTTCCTTGTGCTTATTTACAAATCTATAGTGAAAATTCCACGTGGGTCTTAACACATCTTTGATATGGGGGTGAAACTGTTCACTACAAATCAGCAAATCACCCCAACTAAGCCCGTGCTTACCTTGTCTGCAGGACACCTATCAGGGGTAGTGCATTCGGAAAGAGACTTCGGTTTTGTAGGAAGTGCTGTGGGGTCAGAGGAGAGACAAACATCAGCCCACACTAGAAGTGGTGACAACAAACAAAAAACGGGCACACTACAGAATCATGGCTAAGCACAAGTAAACACTTGCTGACCTTACTTATGGGGTAACCTGAGGTCATGGTCAGGAATTACATGACTGTCTGGGGGCTGGATTCCTCTGTGGGCTACTTCATTGAATTTTACTCCATGGCTTTGGGGGACCCAGTACCGATGATATGACATCAGGTCCCTACGGAAAGAGCAGCGGAGGTTGTAGGGAGGCTCTGAGCACGTAACGCCTCCTGAAAGAGGCGAGCAGTTGAACCCTGTGAGGGCTGCGGGCTGCATCAGTGATCCTCCCTTCCATGGGTGTGGTGCATTTAGAGCAGTCACTGCCAAATGCATACTGGCAACAAAGAGACACTGTCGTGTGTCTTATAACATCTGGGGGGAGAACATTCCAGACAGTTTGCCATTCTGAATCTCACGAGTTAAAGGCTCAGAGGTGACATCACTAATTTATTTCATGACCACAAAGCCATGGCAATAAAATAAGTCAAGGAAGAAATAGAGAGAGAGAGAGAGAGAGAGAGAGAGAGAGAAGCAAGTTAAGCAATTTATTGGCACAAAGGATTCAGCTATCAAGGTTGCAAATAAGTCATCAACTTTAGGCAGAGGCGCACAGCAGAGTGTTTCTGAAATGTCTGCTCGCTTGGACAAGCTCGCTGCCTTCTCAGGAGTATGCCTTGAATCCATAACAGCCAGAGAAAAAAATGTAAAGTCATGGAAGAAATGCTTATGTAACTCACTTTTAAGTCAACAGGGGACTGTCTTTTCCGGTGGTGCTGGAGGCTGAAGCCGGTTAGGATGATGGCCGAGCTGCAGGCTGCCACACGCACTCAAAGGGACTAGGTGCTGCTGAAGTTGGGCAGCAGCCTTGGCGAAGCGGGAATTAGAGGTCCACCGAGGGCCCTGCTTTTCTATTTGCTCCACTCAGAAGCCTAATGTGTGAAAAGCACTGAATCAAGCATGGCATGCATGAAGGGCTTGAGAAGTCCCGTCAGCAAGGAGATGAAGGTTTTTCATGCATCTTCAGACATGAGAAGACCTTCTGTATGCGTGCATTAGTGCAGGGTTTGAGGCCAGTGACAGACCTCGCACGATAGGTGAAGAGATTCATATGCACTGAAGTAACTAACAGTGGATGCAACAGATGTCACGGAAGGGCCCTGATGAATCATCTCCACTGTTCTGGCTGTGTTTCAAAGGGCTGCACACATAATTCAGGTGCTATTGTCCTCCACAAGAGCCCTGGTGGGGTGGTGGTTATGCCTTGGGCTGTGATCTGCATGGTGGGCAGTTCAAAACCACCAGCAGGAGAAAGATGAGGCTGTAAAGAGTTACAGTCTCAAAACCCATGGGGGGAAGTTCTACCTTGTCCTATAAGGCGGCTTTGAGCTGGAATTGAGTCGATGGCGGTGTGTTTGTCTGTTTTGGTACTGTCCTCTACGTCAAGTGGTGTTTGGGCTTCCTATGAGAAGAGAGTGGTGGTCCAAGGGGGACTGAGAGGCTGGCCGGGAGGCCAAGTCAAGTAAGGCAGGTCCCTACGGCAGGCAAGATCAATCAGGCAGGCTGGCCTTGGCAGGTAGGATGGTGGTTGAAAGAGTATGAACTCTGAAAGCTAGACTTGGGTTTGTATCTCAGCTTCTTCCATACAAATGTGTGGCTTTGGGCAAATTACTCATGTCTCAGGATCTCAGTTACTTCATCTATAAAACGGGGAAAATGGCTAACTTGCAGAGTTGTTGTAAAGGATAACATGCTATAACGTAATGCGCACAGAACATCGATTACATGGCAAAGGCTTTATAAATAACGTCACTTACAGTCATGTAAGTAAGCAAAGCAGTCATGAGAAAGTATGAAATGCATCAGTGCAACTGACATAATCGTTTTGTGAAAAAACAATCCTGTGAAACCAAGTTCGTTCCCTCTGGAACGGAGGGCAAGATGAAGGTGGCAGCAGCAGGTTTGATTTGAGCTTGGAAAGTGGGTACAGTTCATTCTGGGTTTGATGGCCACATGCCCATCATTGCTCTGGAGTGATGTGATCCATGGGATAGTGTGTGTGCAGGGGGAGGGTGCAGGTTCAGGTTTGGTAAAACCCAAAGCAATGTGTGAGGAGCAGACCTTCTTAGCCAGGGGTGCTGTGATGAGTTGGGCTAAACTTTGTAGACCGCTGTAAGGGTCAAGGTCAGAGACTGCGATGGCAACATCCAGGGGTGGAACAGCTGCTGTGTGGATGCAGGATCCACACTGCTGTGTAGATGCAGGGAGTGGGTCTATGTCTCTACTGCATTCCTCCCTATAGCAGGAACAAAGCCCCATGAAGCAACCATAGAACCTTGAACCCAGAGATCAAAGGAAACACAGAGTGAAGGGCTGGTAAAGTGGGGGTGGCAGACCCAGGTTACAGAGGAAGCTCCTTAAAGGTGTTGGTTGATGCTCTGCTTAGCATCAGAACAATTTTCTGGGATAGTAACCAAAGAGGTGTGTTAGACCGGTTGACTAGAGAAACAAGTCCAGGGATACTTATATATGTGTACGAGAGAGCTTTATATCAAGAAGTAATTATATAGCAAGCAAACACCCCAGCCCAGCCCAGATCACGTCCATAAGTCTGATACCAGATCATCAGTCCTTCTTTAGACCTTTGAAGCCACACGCAATGCTGCAGAATGCGGAAGATCACAAGCTGGTGGGCGGGTGCAAAGTCTTGTCGATCCAACGGTGGTGGACACATCTCCAGGGCTCTGGCTGCCATCAGCATGGCTCGCAGTGGCTCATCAGCCCGAAGGTGAAGCAAAGAGGGGAGGTTACCAGGACCTCCCCACAAAAAGGTACCATCAGGCTGTGACCCGACAGACAGGCTAGATTCCACTTTATTTATCAAGTTGATACAGAGATGAATCCCTCAGTATCATTTGATCTCTTAACCCCTCAGTGGAACAGGAACGACAGTTCCTCTGTAGTTACATAATCTTGTGTATTGAACTACCACTGAGGGGTTAGGAGGTCAAATGATACGGAGGGATTCTTTTCACGTAGTAAAGCTTCCACACAGGGCCTGAGAATAACTGAGCTCTTGTTGTTGTTAGGGGCCTTTGGGTTGGCTCCGACCAACAGAGACCCTCTGCACAACAGAACGAAGGGCTGCTGTGCCAGTTAGGTTTATTGTGCCAACTTGGCCAATAGGAACATGTGGGATTAATCAGGTCACAGTTTGATTGGAGGGCAAAGAGATAAATGGCTCTGCAAGGCCCGCCCCTCTCTCACTTGCTCCCTGGTGATCAGAGGGTGCTGGAGCGTGCGTGCTGCGGCTTTAGCTAGTTCTCTGCCTCAACCTGTGAGCTAAACTACCTGTGGATCTTGTGACCAAGCCCATCCGTGGATCCTGTCACTAGAGCTTGAGTTTGAGGCCTGCTTTGCCATGCTGCTGGTGCGTACACCCCTTGAGCTTGAGGCTGGTGGATCCTGTCTCCTTGCATTGCTTGGGTTCGATATCCCATCCAGGCCTGCTTTGCTAAGCTCCCCAGCTGACTGCTGCTGACTTCTCCTGCTGTTTGCTGCTTGTGGACAGACAACAGACTCAGACTGCCTTGCCTGATGGAGGACTCTGTTCTCTGCTTCCTTGACCTTGGACCCAGCAGCCCACACAAGTTGAACGACTTCTAGTATATTGACTGCTCCACAGAAGTGTGTTGAACTGAGCCCTCTGCACTGCTGTGTGGACTAATTAGCTGTTACATTCCTTCTTGCTGTACAAACCTATCTCTCTATATCTATAATCATAAGAGTCCTGGTTTTGTGCCTCTAGAGAATCCTGCTTAACACAACTGCCCAGTCCTGCACCATCCTCACAATTGTTCCAGTGCCGGAGCCCAAAGATGCAGCCACTGTATTGGTCCACGTTCTTGAGGGCTTTACTTTTTTTTTGCTTCTCTCCACTTAAGAAAACATGATGTCCTTCTCCAAGGACTGTTTTTTCCTGACAATATGTCCAAAGTATATAAGATGAAATCTTGCCACCCTGGCCTCTAACGAGGACTCTGACCTAACTATGAGTAAGAAAAACAACAACAAAACACATAGATAAGGGGTTGGGAATAGATGGTATTGCAGTTAAGCCTGTGTGGTCGTTAGGTTTTGTGTCACCTTGGCTGGGCTGGGGTTCTCAGTATTTCGGCAGCAATCCCCATGATGTGATCTAGTACAGTGTAATCAACTCCATGATGGGGTCTAACATGATATAATCAGCTTTGTGAGCAGCCAGCAGTCGTGGTGGAGCATGGCCTCATTTACCAGGTCACACAACCCTAAAGCAATTAGAAAAAAGTTTCTCTGGGGGTGTATGGCCTGCTCCTTTTTAAGCAGACTCTGTGAGAAAATTTGTCATTTCTTCTGGATTTGGGGAGTCTGTATCCCGCATCTAGTGCCTTGATTTCCTGCCATATTGCCTGACAACCCCAGGGGCTATCAACAGCCTGCCAACCATGAATTTGACTTTGCATCCACCAGTCTGTAGTCTTCCTGCTTCCTCAGCTATAGAAACCTCCAGCTCAAAGCCACAGATCTGAACCAGACTGAACCTACTGTGTGAGCCATTTCTTATGTGCTTTTCTAAAACCACACACATTTAAGCATCACTGGCTTTGTTTCTCTGGAACCCAGCTTAATGCAGCCTGCTACATCACTGAGAGCAGAACCTGAATACAGAAAGTTCCACCTTAAAAACCTAAGAAAAGGTAAGGCCAGTGCTGGGCATTGCTTAAACCGTGAGTGGTGTCTGACCTGGTCCACACTTCCTTAAGATGTGTACATTCGTAGAAGTAATTCCCACGTATTTTCTCACCCCTAGGCCATTCGAAAACCAAGGTCCATGATGGTGTCTGATACCTGCTGGTACGATGGAGTGGTTTACAACTGGCTATTTTGCCCCACAGGGAATATGTGACCATGTCTAGGGACACTTTGGGTTGCCGTGATAGTTACATAAGCTGGCGTCCACTTGTGGAGGGGTGGAGTCTAGCCTGTCAATCAGCTTGGAGCTTGATGACTTCATTGAGAGGCATAATGGAGATAAATAGCTCACTGGAAGTAGGACTCACTTCCCTGCAAGACATTCCTGTTGACAAGCCACATGGAGCTAAGCTGATGGTAGCTAGAGCCTTGGAGCTGGAGGAACCACATGTAGACCCATGGCAGCACTGAGATGTTTCCACCACTACCGGATCCACAAGATTTTCTACCCAGTGGCCTGTGATCTTCCTGCACTCAGTGTCATTGCATGTGTTGCATTAGTCTGAAGAGGAATTTACAGACTGCCCATATGGGCTAATATTAGACTTATGGAGTTGATCTGGGCTGGGCTGTTTTCTTAATGTACAACTACTCTTTATATAAAGCTCTTTCCTATACACATATGAGTGTCTATGAGTTTGTTTCGCTAGTCTACCCAGACTAACACAGTTGCCATTGCCAGTGTGTCTCTGGGGTGTGCTACTGGCAACTAGGATGTCGAAGCCAGGCATGCTAACCACCCTATAATGCACAGGGCAGCCTCTCACAACAAATAATTATCCAACTCCAAACATCAAGGGAGGTTGAGAAACCCCAGCCTAGTGTAATGGGCAGGTGTCTTGTCCTTCCCACCCTCATCCCAGTGTAGGAGAGACCGACAGCCAGTCTGGTGCTCCTCATTGGTGGCCAGATAAACAAGAGGGGGTGGCAAGTATGCAAAACATCTGGGGGTGGGAATGAGCTCAAAGGTAGCGGCAAAGCGCTCCCCCAAGTTAGGTGAGGGATAAGGACAGAGTTTTTCACTTCAAGGCAACTCTTACTCATTTAAAAACCGATTTCCTTAAGCACATAATTATATGCTTATTTCCCTAAGGAACTCTTGAAGCAGAGGAGATCTACTTAAATCATGGGGATGGAGGCTGCACTTCGGGCTCTAATGGGGTTCGAAAGATCTCTGTCTCTTGTGAAGGAAAGGAAAGACTGAGGGTGCAGAGGGTGAGGGGAAGATTTAGGGAACAGGAACCGAGGACTGGCTGCAGCATGTCAGAACCAGAGAGTTGAACTTCAAGCCACACACCTCTCCTCATTCTGATAAGCCCTTAAAGTGGAGGGAGAGGGTTCAGGAAATGGGCCAATTCATATCCTTCCTGCCCCAGCTCCTTCAGACACAACACATGTATGTGCAACCTCCTCCCTCCCCACCCCCACCTCCCAGGGGCTGGTGGTCAGAGGAGGGAAGGGGAAAGGATAATCTTTGTGTAGCCAGTATTACGTTTCAGCTGGAGAGAAAATAAGGCAATGGACGTTGATGGCGTTTGCATCACATGAATGATGTCATTGATTTCATTGAATTGCTACCAGTGAAAAATGTTGACCTGGCAAATGCTGTGTGTTATCTATACATATTTACAACAGTGAACAGAACAGGGCCGTGCTGCTGGGGGTGGGGTGGAGTGCGAGGTTGGGAGGGCCTAGGGGGGGATGGCACGTCTGATGGGAGGGCTCAGTGTGTCTTCTCTGTTTACTATTTCTCATATTTCTTTCATAGCCTGGACACCGGGAAGTGTAGGTGTCTCCTCTTTGGCAGGAGTCTCTGGGTAGTACCAATAGTTAATGGTGTTTGGCTGCTACCTGACAAGTTGGCGGTTAGAGACCACCCAGAAGGGATTGGTAGAAAGGACCGGTGAAATGTGATGGAACATGGCTCTACACCGACACACAGAGAATTGTCATGAGTCCTAAATGACTCACTAGCGTCACCTGGGGAGGCGAGGTGGGCGCAGAAAAACAAGAAATGATGATGACTCGGAATTGACACACAGAGGAGACCCACTGCCGCTGAGCTGATACCAACCTATAGTGACCCTACAGGATATCCAATAAGTGCTCCGGAGAACCACCCAGAGAGCTGCTGATAGGGTTTCCAAGGCTGGCGATCTTTATGGAGGCGACTCCCCAGTGTTCTCTCTCAGAGCAGCTAGTGGGTTTAGACAGCCCATCTTTCTGTTCGCAGCAAACCCGTCAACCACTGTCCCTGGAAACCATGTCCTTTGCTCCCCTAGACTGGCTGGTGCACCCCTCATGTGAGTTGCATGGGGTTGAGATAGATGGGGGGTGGGTTCTGTGGGAGTGATCTGGGTTGGTGGTAGTGGGAGAAAGGAAGAGTGAGGGGTGGCTTAGGCCTGGCCCTGGTCTAGGCTCTGAGAGACAGCATGTACAGGGGCGAGCTTGCGACCTCTGCTCTCTTTGTCCCTGCTGCTCCCTGAGTGCACGTTTGTCCCAATACCACCCGGCTGCCTCTCCCCGTGCCGTCTTCTACAGGAGGCAGGATGCTGTCTACCTTGCCTCTGCATCTAACGGAGCCGGTCACAGAGGCACCCTGCACATGGAGGGGTGGGTGGGGGGCGGGGTGGGTGCTGGGCTTTAAGGGGTTTGTGCAAAAGTTCCATTGACTTCATTTTCCTACAAACGTTTGGAAGCCCTGTGTAGGTCACGATGCGTTTCTACCTTGTCTGTGTGGCTTGCCGTGACAGAGGAGCAGGCAGGAGCACAGGCAGACATAGGAGCAAAAGGGGTCCTTGGGCTGGGGTATCCCCATCCCTCCTCTCTCTCTTAGGCCAGCAGTGCTGATGGCAATGGCTGGATGGGTCCAACAGGGGAGAAGTGAAGGTAACGTCTCAGGAACCTGGCCGAGATTCATAGCCACAAAGCTCCCTCTAATTACTTATCCAATAACTGCCCTGGACAACTAGCCAGGCTGGCTCAGGTCCAGCACTTCTTGGCCTGAGGTGTGGGGCAATATTAACAGTATGCGTAAAGGGCTGGAGGAGCCCTGGTGGCATAGGGAAGGGTGTGTGTTGGGCTGCTAACTGCAAGGTCAGCAGTTCAAAACTACCAGCAGCTCCATGGTAGAAAGATGAGGCTTTCTACTCCCCAAAAGATTTACATTCTCAGCAACCCACAGGGTCACTGTGGGTCAGAACTGACTCACCGGCAGTGAGTTTGGTTTTTTGGGTTGTGCTTCAGCTTCCTTAGAGGAACCAGGAGAGATTGTCCGCCTTTCCTCCATCACAGGACTATGGTGAGAATCACATTGGGAGATGTGTGAAGGTGCTCTGTAAACGGTCAAGTGCTATGTGAGCTGGTTCTTATAAGTCATTTATTTAAGGAATAGCAGGGGGAGCCCCCACTTCTGTGGGGCCCCAGCCATCCCTTCCATTGGATCTGCCGGTGCTTCAGTCTCCAGAGCCTGTTGGGAGCTGGGGGCTGAACTCCGTCAGTTGGCTTCTGTCTCTCTGGCCCCATCGACCTCCCGAGTCGGACTAAATGGTTGGTGCCCAGGGCCCCTATTTAGTTTGCTGGTAGAACTGGAAGACCGCTTTCTCCTGCTCATAGGTCTCGATGGAGCCGGGTCGCAGGCGCCGGATTTCAGCAATGGCGTCTCCTGCAGTCAATCTGCGCTCCTTTACCAGGTAACAGGCCAGCATGGTGCCAGTGCGGCCAAAGCCCAGGGCGCAATGCACAGCCACCGCCTGTGAAGAGGGAGCCTGATGAACTGGGGCCCAAGATGCTCCCCAACATTCTCTTGTCCCTGCTTCACTTGGTTTCAGGCATCTGGGCACAGGACGCAGTTGGGGGGCGGGGAGGGGAAGGAACTAAGTGACAACAGTCAAGGAGAGCTGCCCTGGTACCTGGGTGGTGCGGAGGCCACCTCTCCTCTCACAGGTGGCTGCGCTCCTGGACTGCCTTCCCACGGCCCTCTGCCTACTTTGTCCACAATAAAAGCTACTGGCCGTGTGTGGCTACTGAGCACGTGGGTTTATGTGCAGTCCGAATTGGGGAGGGAGGGTGAAATACACAAAGGATCTGGACGAGGTCAGTATGAAAAAGAACGCGGAATTTCCCACTGCGAATTTATTTTGTCTTGATTATCACTTGAAGTGATATTTTTCGACTTACGGGATGAAAAAAATCATATTATCAAAACGAACTTTACCGGTTTCTATCTTTAACATTTTTACAATGTGGAGACCAGGCAATGAAAAATTACATGCATGGGGCCATTATGCTTAATTGAACAGCCTGCCTCGGACGTCAAACTCCTTGTCTTCCACGTCTGCCCAACCCTTTCCTTCTCATCTCACCGCACCTGGCTCTCTTTGCTACTGACCTTTCTTCAAGTGCCACCCCCACGCTTCCCCCACCCCCACGGGCTTCTGTCCTCCAGCACCTGACGTCCCCAGTCCCTACCGCTCTCCTGTAGTCATGCCCAAGCTCCGACCTGTGTCCCCACCCTACCCCTCCGGGGCCCCGCCCGCTGACCTCTCCCCGAGCGTTGGCCTGGTCCACGATTTGCACGAAGTGGTCGATCTGGTCGGGGTCCGGCGGGCAGAAGTCTACGATGCGCAGCCGGTGCAGGGTGAGCTTGGAGCTGTCGCTGTAGGGCGGCCTGCGCTCCGTCAGGGACACCAGGTGCCGCACACCCTGCTCCCACAGGAACTGGTAGTGGGCGGGGTGCCGCGGCAGTGCCAGCCCAGCCAGCCGGCCTGGGAGCACCCATGAGAAGTTGGGGGGCTTCATACACATCGCTGGGGGAAAGAAGGGGACAGCGGGTCCAGGAGCAGGGCCAGCCCCAATCCGCTCCGCCCACACTTCTCCTCGCCCCCCGCTCCCGGGCCCGGGAACCTGCACCTACCTGGCCCTTTCCACTCCAGGACTACGTGATGTCTGGAGCCCGCCCCGGATTACGGCCCGCTCGGCCCTGGGGGCTGGCCTACCAGCCCCGGGCCGTGGTCGGACACTAGTTGATTGGCTGGATAATCAGTGATGGGCGGGATCCCTGGCGGTGCGCACGGCGATTGGCGGAGCCGCTCAAACCACCCAGGAAGGAAAGCTCAAAGATTACGGTCTTCTGTGGGCGAAGCGACGCGGGGTTGGATTCTGCCGCACCCTCGCGGTAGGTTAAAGTTACTGCATCGCCGGTCGGTTGACCAGGCCATCTCTCCACAGTGGCTACTCCAAGGGCTTGAGAGGACAAATCAATTTTCACCTTGGGGGAGAAATGTCATCTACCACTCAGACTCGGACTCGTCACTTTCAGTAACGTTTTGAATTCTTCCAGTGAAAGGGAAATCACTCGTGAACAGACTGGCACTCCTAATTTCCCCCGGGCTAGCCATCTGGTGCCCTAAACATAAGAACTCAAGGTAATAATAGCAATAACGTAAGAATAGCCATTTATTGAGCATTAACTATATGTCAGTTCTCTACTAAGCTTTTTACGCATGTTGACTAATTTCAGTGCCTCAAGCGTATGAAGTAGGTAGTTTAACTTCATTTTTTTCAGATGAGTAAACAGAGACTTGGAAAGGTGAGACATGTGACCAAGAGGTGGTGTGAATATTTGACATCAAGCAGTCTATCTCCAAAATATTTCACCACAACCCAGTAATGTTTCCTAAAGTTAAATGGAAGGTTTCTTTCTCTTCATCTAATTATTCCCCAAATGTCAGCTGGGTGAAGTACCTGCTATTTTCATAATTTTTCTTCATATTTCACGGTATTCAATCTCAGTGGCCATCCTCCACTGGGCAGACTAGAGTTTGCCAGTGCTGTTCTTATAAAGGGAGCTCCTGGATCTCACCCAGTGCCTCGCAGACACGTCCAGGTCCTCACACTCAATCCCAAACCAAACCACACTCACTGCCACCAAGTTGAATTTTCCCTCCCAGTTCCTTTCCCTGCCTTCCAGGAGCCAGTTAGGATCCTGATTTGGATGAGTGTCCAAACCATTTATTTTAATAACATATATGTATCCATAATCAATTCACAGTATTATTTGGTTTTGTCCACACAGGTAGTATGCTGTACCTAGTGCTCTGCCAATTTCTGTTTGGAGAGACCCTATGGGGCAGGGTGGAACTGCCCCTGCGAGTTTCTGAGATGGCAACTCTTGCTGGGAGTGGCTGTCTCCTGAGGAGCTGCTGGTGGTTCCCAACCGCAGACCCTGCAGATCACAGCCCCCAGTCAATAGTGTTACAGAATTATTATTATCAGGATGCGAACAGTTGGCCCTTGTTGAATTTGCTTATGTCCAGGTCTTGTGTTCAGAGCTTCCTGGAAGAACTCTGGGAGGAAGATATTATTGTATCGGTATTGTAGGTGAGTAGCCTGAGGCCTGTTGGGGGAATGGGAATTTGTGCCTTCCAGTCAGAAAATCCCAGTTCCCAGGCAATAGGCTTCATCCAGAGCCACTGCTGTCTGGCCAGTGGAGGCTTTCCTCTTGCTGGGATGCTCAACAGGAACGTCAGAGGAACTTCCAGACCAGATGGACTCAGGGCAGAGGCTGGCAATCTGCTTCGGAGATCCTGGCAGTGACACCGAATGAATCAGAATGATCATGCGGATGGCACGGGACCAGGCAGCCCTGAGGCTTGTTGTGTGTGGGGTAGTGTAAGAAGGGATTTAACGTGGCCAAAGATATACAACTAGTAAGCTGGGATGGTAGAACCGAGGTCAGTGTAATTCTAAGACCCGAGCACTGTGCCGTGATGAACTTCCTGCTCTCAGCTCCTCACTACTGCACCTCCCAGCACAGCCATCTGACCATTTATCTGTCTGGTTTCATCACATTGAATAGTTGACCTGGTGGACAAAGCAGAGCCCCAGTCTTGGGACTCCTCCCTTGACTCCCCTCAGGTTCTCGGAGCTGCCAAATCGACCCTCCTTCCTTTCCATACAATCACAGCCAGATGAAGCCCTTCTTGTCTCCACTCCCATTTCCCATAAAACTCCAGCATCAAGCGTCCCTTTTCTAGCCTGCCTCCAATTCCATTCTCCCCTCTGCCCTGGCCTCCAGGCCCCTCCCTCCTCGTACTTCCTCTCCCACTTCTCTCAACCACGTGGCTCCCGGCGTTTCTCCTTGCCCTGCTGGCCTCGTGCTTTGCAACATGTACTTCTTTCAGGTTTAATATTTTCATATTCCCTTCCTTTTTCTCTACTCTCTTCCCTCATTCGGGAAAAATTGTCTCACAATGTTGTGCCTGGAACCGGCCCTCTGGATGGTAAAGTCGAGGGGCAGCAAAAGAAAGAACATTTCTTGGCAAGGTGAAGTGACACTGTGGCTGAGCCAATGAACGCCAGCGTAACACTTGTGAGGAAAACGCAGGACGGACAGTGTTTAGTTCTTTCTGTCGTCCATAGAGTCGCTGAGAGTTGGCATGATTGACAGCACTTAACAACAACTCTCCGGGATCCCCGGCCCCGTCCCTGCCTCCCGGAGACCCAGCTTCAGACCCATCTCCAGAAGGAAGGCAGTTCTGGGGGAGACAGAGGTTCTCTCCCTGGTGCCCTCCCCAGCAGTGGTTCTCCCCAGAGGGTGGGTTTCCAGGGATGGAAGCACACCTCTGGGCCCACCTGAGGTCCCCAGCCAGCCTCCTGCGGAAGCCAGCTCTTCCCTGTGTAGGAATGCCTTCCTCCTTTCTCCCCGGCCCAGATCCCTTCCCACAGCCTCCCGGGGACCTAGTCCGGGGTCGGCAAACTTTGGAGAAGGAAGAGCCAATCTGTCCCTCACAACAATTCAAACTTTGACAGCCATAGATATATTTTTACAAACAAATGAAATCACCATGATCTAAATCATATCCTTTAAAAGCTTATCAAATTTTATTTCGGAGACACATACACGTATGGAAAGAGCCGAGTTGCCGACGACCCCTTATTTAGACTGTGTTCTGCGACGGTGCCGCTTAAATGTCCTTTATTGGTCCCAAAGAGTCTCAAACTGCAAGGAAGAAACCATCCCTGATAGTTTTGTTCGCCAAGCAGAACCTGGTCAAGAGGGAAAAGTGGGTGACAGGGACGGGATCCTAACCCAAAGCAGCAGTGGAGGCCCATCTCCATGCCGTTGGAGCACCAAAGGAGGCGAGGGCAGTCAGGAGATAGGTCCTTCTCCACGGAAGGAAAGAAGATCGCAAAAGCTTGAGGGTGGGGAACCGCAGGATGGATGTTCACAGTACCCCACAAATGTTTGCATTGGTTCAGGGCCTGGGGACAAGAACACAACATGAGCTCAGGAGTGCAGGTACCTGGGAAAGGGAAGTATGCTACAGAAAGCCATCCAATAGCTGCCGACCAGCCCGAAAGCCAGTCAATGGTGAAAAGTCCACCAGCAGCCGACTGAAAACCTAGTGCTTCATTCTACCTGGCTGTTGGATGAGCAGGTGGTGTGTGTGTTGGTGGTGGTGGGGTAGGGGTGGGGAGGTGGGGGTAGGGGAGCGGTGGGGGGTAGGAGGAGGGAAGGGCTTTGGTGTTCCAAGCTAACGTACTTCCTCAATAAACGGACTTGTTCTGATCCCGCCTTTTCTCTGACTCGTCTGTGAGCTGCCCCGCCTCTGAATTCTTCTTTGGGAGCAGGGCAAGCAGTGAGAGACCAGAGGCTCAAAACCTTGAGTTGCCTCCTGGTAACAGTTTCCTGAACTATACCTCCTGCATTTAACAGTGTCAGTATGCGTCCTCCGCGAATACTAATCCTCATTTCTCATCTCTGTAAAGGGCTACTTGACCTCGGGAAGGTAGGCGCTGTCTGAATCCCAACTCACTTTGCATAAATAAATCAGTGTTTGCAGTTCATTGCACTGTGCGGATCTGTTTGCCTAGAAGCCAAGGCTGCATCTTTCCAACTTTGAAGTTCATGCATCTGATATGGATCCCGGCTCCCTGGTGGCTGAGGATTAAGCTAACAGAAAGGTTGGAGTTTCGAACACACCAAGAGACTTTATGGGAAAAAAGATCCACTGGCCTAGATCTGATAGCCTAGGGAACCCTAATTATAAGCAGTTTTACTCTTTTCTGTAGGATTGCTATGAGTCAGCACACAGCACTATGGAACCTGAGAGAGATGGTGCACAAAAATCTTACATGTACATGAATGAATAAGTAGAATGTACAGACAAGACTGGGTTTGCATTTTAGGGAGTGTCTGTGAGTCTCTATGACCATGGTGATGCATGTTTGTGTTTCCCTTTAATGGCATGAGTTTGAGGACTGTATTGAGTGTTGTGGGAGCTCTCTCTGATAGACACTTTTTACATGTCTGTACCTTAAGGAAAGAATGACTGTGTCATTATGATTCTGCTTAAGCCTCGTTACTTTAAAAAAGGGATAAAGAAGCCTCATTCTTTGTGCTTGTGCAGACAGCATATTCACATGTGTGTGTGTGTATGTGTGTGTGTAAAGGTCATATTCATATTTTGGTTTATGCTTCTTATTGGGAATCAGGTGAAGTTATACAGGGCAGATAATCAGTTTTACAGTCAACATTTTATACACCCTTTGTTTCAACTCATCCATTGACATGTCCTCAGTGAACCACCACTCATTCTGCTTTCTCCCCCTTTGCTGTGCCTGCTCTTCCATGTCCTCTGTTCCTCTGAATGTTACCAGAAGGCGAATGCTTCCCTTTCAGTCTTCCATGACTGATGATTCTAACACAGAGGTGTTCAGTTCTAGGCCTGACGGGCAATTAAGGGCCACAGTCTCAAGGTCTCACTTGTCTGTGTCTGACCAGCCAGCCTGGTCTCCTGTGTGATTTTGTTCCACATTGCCCCCACTCTATCCAGGGCCTTGTGATGCAATATTTTTCAGAGCAGTTGTTAGCAGTAGTTGTTACACCATCTAGTTCTTCTGGTCTCAGAGTTGGGAAGATAGATGTTTGTGTGGTTCATTGATCTATAGGATGAAATATTTCTATAGATCTTTCAATTTTCAT